ACAGTGACAAACCTTCACTGTCAAGAGTATTTTCATAAAAAATAATTAAAAAGTTATAAATAATTTTTGTGATTACTTTTTAGTGGCGACAAATTGTTGTTGCCAAAATTATTTTTATAAAAAATAATTTAAAAATAAAAAATAATTTTGCAATTACTTGTTTAAATTGTTTAATTATTTTATAATTCATAAAAAATAAATAACATTAGAAATAAATAACATTAGAATGTTAAAATTATATATAAACATTAGAATGTTAAAGTTATATAAATATTGTAAGATGCAAATGGTATTGCAGACTACTTAATATATTACGCGTTTGATACTTGGTTTGGTATACAAATGGTGTCTATTTTATTTTTTGAGCTTTATTTTTCATTGTCACATGATTATTTAAATAAGATGCTTCATATTTAATGGTTATTTAAAATAAGCAACAAATACAATAGGTTGAGAATATTTAATGGTGTTTTAAATTATGAATGAAATTATATATAAACTTATTAAAGTTTGTTTATTTTAAATTACAAAGTTGTTGGAAAGTATTTCCTATTAATTTTAGATTGATTTTGTTAAAGAGACTTTAATGAAAGTCTAAACTAATTTAGATCGAGTCAAAATAAAATTTCTATGAAACATCTACTTAGATTTTTAACTTGGATTTTTTTGTGTTTAGTATCTACTTTGAGTTTATCACATATTCACCCATTTTCTATCTCAAAGATAATAAAAAATAATTATCCAAAATGACCATCAACAAAATTTATATGATTAAAATAAAATTTTTATTAAAATATTTTTAAGATAATTGAAAAATTGTAGATAAAATTTATTTTTAATAAAAGAAGAGGAAGCATTTAACTTGGGAGAAGAAAAAAATTTAATAATTTATTTATTAATTTTTGAGAAAAATATGGAAAAAAAGTAAAAGATATTTAACGTAAACTAATATAATAGATACTTATAGATAAATTATATACTTAATTATTTTTATTTAAAAAAAAAAAAAAATTTAAAAATTGGTAAAACAATTTTATAAGAAAATTATTTAATATTTAAAAATTATTTCATTTTAAGTTCATTTTCCTAACAAAAAATAATATTTTATTAAAAAAATAAAATATATATACACTCATAGAAATTATTTTAACATATTAATAAATGAAAATAAAATAAATATATATATATATATTGAATAATATATTATTTGATATATGTGTATGTAATTAAATAATATATATTTAATTTTGCATAAATAACTACAAGTGCATTTCAACTCAACTGGCAATAAAGAAGAACTTAAAGCTTTGAAGGTGGGAGATCAAAGGCTTAAATCCTAACTTGGGCATATTTCATAATTCACAATGAATATGTGACATGACATGTGACGGCGACGTGGCGCACACATGGCGGGGTGATGTGGTATGTGCCGTGGCACTAGGAGGTGCACACGTGGTCTTTTTTTTTTTTAAAGTTAACTTTTGTTGGTAACAAAAAGTTACTGCTAAAGGTTTTTAGCAGCGATTTTTTACTGTTAAAAGGTCGCTCCTAAAAATTTTGTCGCTAATAATTTTTTACGGCAACTAGGTAAACTTTTAAAGGTAAAAAATTTTTGGTGGCGACAATTGTCGCGTCAAAAACTATTAGCGATAAGACTTTTGGTGGCGATCCTTTTAGCGACAAAATGTCGCTGCCAAAAGTCATTTTTTTTGTAATAAAAATAATAATATTTTAAACATTTGATTTATTAACCCAATATAATTTGTAGGAGTATACTTTTTTTGGGCTAAAATATAAGCATTTCCCTTAAAATAATATTGGTTTAAAATATAAGTAATCTAGTATATATAATTTTTTTTTGCCATCTTACCCATTATATTTATTAACTTAGATATTTATATAGATAAATCTCTCACTCATCATAAAGTATGTTAGTAATTGAAATTAGAGATAAAAAAATAATATATATTTTTATGAGAGTAAAAATTTTATTAGCATGCCAATTTCTCTCAAAAACTGCGAATATTTTAGACGAGAAACAGTAAATATCAACATGAAAAGGTAATGCATGACAAACAAGCCAACAAAACCCGCAATCCGACATAACTGGCTCATTTGTGGCAAAAGCGATGGATTTATTTATTTATTCGGTTATTGTTGTAATGAGTTTTGGACGAATCCGGCGCTGGTTGTAACCTAGCGTTGGCTATAGACGTAGATGGCGAGTTTTGACACGTTTTAATTGAGTCCTAATCAGCTATCTGTAACTAATTAAGGAAACAAAAAGCGCTTGGTTCTTATCATCCAGCTGGAGGCAGCAGATATAACTCATTCTAGAGTGTTTTTTTTTTTTTTCACTGTCATGAAATCTTGCCCCCAATCGCTATCAGTTACGTGACCGGAGAGTGAAGGGGCAAAACATATATTAAAAAATAAAAATGCAGAGTGTTAGAATAGTTGGCTCTGGTAGAGCTTGTTAATTAAGGAACCGGAAGTATAACGGTCTGGTTTGGCGATGAAAAGTGGATTTCACTTTATTACATTTATTTATAATTAAACTTAAGCTTATTTGATGCCACACTTCTCATATCAACTCAATTTCACTTATCTATACTTGAACATTTTAACATATGGTACTCAATCTCAATTCAGCTTGCAACTGGACTTTGTTTTGTTATTTTTTGTGTTAAAAACTATTAAAACTATAATTTTAGTAAAAACAAGGATTTATATGTATACGCGTTACTTGTGAGTATAAGACCAAACCAAACACGTAGTATAAGACCTTAAAACTTTAGTTTCAATCACCTTTTTATTGTGAGTATACGCGTTCTGGCTCAATTATGGTTAGTTGGATCAATTATTTGAAACTCATTGGGTTTATATGTATACGACCCAACACATAACAACTGTTCGGCTTAGAAAGTTTTCAAGTCATATCCCAAAATCAATAACGAAAGAAGCTTGAATTATTAGGGGAGGTCCACAATATCCTTTTCTGAGGTAGTCGGTGTAATAATAAAGTTTGAGGCCCAAGTGCATGTGCTGAATAGATAACTCAACACATTTATATGCTTGACATGCATTAATGTGGAGGGCATGATTGGTTGGAGACGAAAAATATAGAAAGATCAAACATGACTGAGAATTGTAACCAATACCATGCTCTTGAACACGCACAAATAAATAAATAGATAATACTAGACTCGCCAAAACTTGTATGACACATTAATTAATGCTTCCTAAAACTGGAGACGTGCATTTGATTTGCGAAGTTCCTAGAGCCGTTTGGTTCGGTGATTAGCATCCAACAGTGGTGTGTTCACTCTCCATTTTCGAGATTTAATAGTGGCGGCGGCTGCTGGCTGGACGATCTTTTGAAATTCCTTGATCAACAATTAATATGAGATCATTATGATAAAATTTCTGCCTGCTGCAAGTAAAGTAGAACCCTAGCTAGTCATAAATGAGTTGGGCCACGGGACATGTAATGTACGTTGTTCCTGCATCAATATAAAGAACCTCTCTCCATTGTTAGACCGAGAGATTCCATCACATCCCTTATCATTGCACTTCGATGCACTCCAACATGATCGTGCCGAATCAGATATTTCACATCTCAACTCTCATTTCTCTTGGGATAGCATAACACCAGTTAATTCTCATCATGTATCTAATTCTAACCAGTGATTATCAGTTGACACACGGCTTCCCCTGCTTCCGTCACAAATGTGCCATAAGTAGGGAAATGGACACCCCAACTTTATATACCTGTTAAAATTCAATTTTATCTAATGCGAAACTTATATCAATTCAAGCTTAGTCATAGTTGAACATTCAACATACATGTACGTATGTATGTAATGATATGCCCACATCATGAGACAATTACATGGCCGCTTCTTAACATGGATGGGGGTAACGAAGTTGTTAAGGATACGTAATTAAGGTGATGTGATGGGGGAAACAGTGAGGAACATGTAGAAGAATGGGAGTTTGGTTGAGTGGGAATGAAATGCCGGTGGTTAGCAAAAATTTAAAAGGGAGAGACAAGGAAGTAAGGAGGGGGTGGCCGCAAGGTCCGAGAGACTCGTCTGAGATTGAAAGCTGCACGTGACGGTGCTCGAGAAAAGCATGGAAATTTCCAATGCTTGATTTGGGAAACCCCTATCCTTCATTATACATATGCCCTCATCACATGCCACGTGGCGTGTCGTGTGCTTCAGGGAAATTCCATGTGACCCGTCAGCCCTCTTGCTCATTAGATTAGGCCGGCTCACGTACCCCTGTCCCTAGCTAGCTCCATCATCTCATCTCAGCTATATTAAAATTTTCAGTTCGATATGTACACGCGCCACTAAAATGGACATGAATATTCCAGGGAGATTTTGCTTGGTCCCTAATACAATCAAACATAGATGTTGAGTTGTTCCTTGTTGCTTTTCGCGATGATGCATAATAAAAGAAAAGGATTATGGTAAGGACATCTGAGCCATCATTAATTAAAGAAGCGCCGGTTACGGTAGTTCTGATCCAATAGTCAACCAAGCCTCGGGTTACAACACGGGTATGGACCAATCATTGGCTGCCATGTCAGTTCTTCCCGAGCCATGTTGTTTGACTCAGAAGCCTGAAACATAGGAGCGAAGACTCGTGAAGCCACTGGAGCAGTAGTATGAGAATAGTGACGTGGGGTTGTGTTGATTAGTGGGAGAGATTATAACTATACACTCCATATATATAGATATATAGAGGGGGGGGGGGGTTGGGTCTAGTTTCGTATGATCGATCACATGTTGCTGCTTACAGTGGCATGTACATGAAGGCCCACTTTGTTAGCTTAAAAACAAACACATTCTTATAAATCCACTTGAGTACCAATGCCCAATTGGGGAACAGGGGCAGAGAAAAAGCCCTATGCTCTTTATAATTTTTTTTTTCTCCATTAAAAACACTAAGCCTATTCTACTGCTCTCTCTAGCGCTATTTTTTTCCCTCTCATCCAATATCGCTGTCTTTGCTATTGTACTCTCTTTCTCTCTCCCTCCCTCCCTCTCCCTTGTGGTCCTTCCCCCGCTCTTTAAATCTCTTATCACTTTCTTCATTTCTGCATACCTAAGCTTACATCTAACACTAGCTCCTCCTCTCTCTCCTTCTTCTCCTTCTCTTATTAATTTTCTCTCCCCTTCCCCTGCTCCTTCTTAGTTCCTTCTTTGCTTGTCTGCTTTTGAACTGAAGTGGGAAGCGACTAGCTGACCAGGCTCTCGCTATCGTCTTACAAGTTAAATTCAGCACAACTACCCCAGAAAAGCTCTAGGCTGAGACATGTCTAGCAGAAGGTCCAGGCAGCAATCGGGTTCTACAAGAATCTCTGATGACCAAATCATCGAGCTCGTTTCCAAGTTGCGTCAACTTGTTCCAGAGATTCGCGATAGACGCTCCGGCAAGGTATGTCTTATGTCCTCTACTTCTATGCTCATTATAATTTGTGGGCTTTTCAGCTTTTACCTAACTGCTTAGGTTTTTTCCCCTCATGTAAGAGAGGTTCATTGACATTTAAAGAGTCACGCACTTGGGCAAGAACTAGCAGCCTAGCTTATATAAAATATATATAAAAACGCAAAAGTTTCGTTTACTCTGATGAAGATATAGCTAGCTTGAGGGCTTCACATGTTGTTGCTTGCTCCTCCGAGCAATCTAATTAACTTATTGGGGTGGCTTGTGACCCATATGTAAACTAATATTATTTACAATAAAAAATAAGATCGATTCCGGACAGTCCGAGATTGACCCTGTTATTAAGGACGTAGTCTCCATACAATTCCAAAATATGTGCAGATCTCTATAGACGTCAGAGCGTTAACATTTTGACCGGTCTACTGAAACAGATATAAACTAGAAGGTACACAAAAGTAACGCAGAGCCCAAAAGGGAGGGTGAGGGAGTATTTAACACGTAGGAGTTTGGAGTTTTGGTGATACGGAAACTGGCTACGTGGGTTGAAAGATATATTGCAAGATATTGCATATACGTAGCACTGAATAAAACGATGAGAATATGTTGAGAGACTGAGTCTGGACCCTGAAACTTGTTGTGAGGCAGCAGAAACTGTGTGCCCCATAATGGCACACAGGACGGCATAATATATGTAGAAGAAAGTGACTGGTAAGTAATTGAGGGTACTTAGTCTTATTTTTTGCGCAGGTATCAGCGTCCAAGGTCCTACAGGAGACCTGCAACTACATCAGGAACTTGCACAGAGAAGTGGACGACTTGAGCGAGCGACTCTCTCAGTTGCTGTCCACCATTGATGCTGATAGTGCCGAGGCATCCATCATCAGGAGCCTAATTAACCAATAAGCAATCATGTAATTGAGTGTGCCTTTTAATTTCTTCTTCCGCAAGATTATATTATAAGAGTGTACTTTTTCATTTAATTAATTAGGGCGGGTTAGCTTCCCAGCAGGCAAGAGTGCAGTTTGAGGTGTACGCTTTGTACGGTACCCCCTTATGATAGGTAAGGCACTTGCGAGAAAGGCTTTGCAATAAAATTAACGAGTTGTACTTCTAGATCTCTTTATATATTCTATGGGAGCCCAAAATGCAGTGGTTGTTAAATTAATTCGTTAAGCCTTTTTTAGCCAAGCGCTGTACTTTAATTTAATGACTTGGGTTTATATATATATATATATATGTCTATCTAGGTTCGATGTCATATTTGGCGGAGAAGATATCTATATTAATTAGTTTGCTTGTAGAGGCTATGATATATAATATAAGAAGAATATGCAGACGTGTTTTACTCGGAGATATTGTCGGTAAAGTTGGGTTCAAGTTTCTACAATGTGGATATTTAAAAATATTAAAGCCCCCGACTGGAAAGTGGATGACATGAACGTGATTTGATCAAATGTTGGATGGTTCTGTTTTGTGTAGACTAGAGGCCATCGGAGTATTAAGAAAGAGACCACTAACTATAAAAGATACCCACAGAAAAGTTCCTTCCTTTATTATCGGTTACCTTACAAGGTGAAATGGGATTTGAAATGCACAGGTTGTTCCAGGAATTGAGCTTTTAGTTTCCTTTTTATTATTACCTTACAATATTTATTTATAATTTTGTAGTGTATCTTTGTGGTTGGTGTATTTTATATATTTTTATTTATTACTATAATTATCAAGGCACATATAGCTACCTCCAACACGTACCGACGTAATTGACCCCTAATGTCCAGTCATGAACTTTATTGCTAGAAAAATGCCATTCTAGTCGGTCGAGTTGATGCGATGGCTTCGGAGACTATGGTCATTTGTCATCATTGTCGACTTCTTGTACTGCTATGTATATATATATTTTAGTTCTTTAACTGTTTTTAACACAATATGTGCTGCATCAACTCTCGACTGGCTCAACCATATCAATCTCCTTGTTTACCATCGGCCACTATCAATATTTTATTTTTATTTTTTATTTTTAAAAAAACATGACTGTTCCTTTCCTTCTATGTGTACTGTTACGTATCTATTCTTCGTTTATAGATGATGCCACCACTACAGTCTACATACTGATATATATCATCTTAATTAACATACCATTCGCAGTTACGTTGGGACCATTACGTTTTTCTTCCTTTATATATTTTTTTTTTTCCATTCCGGTGTTGGTGTTTATCCCCGGACCCCCCTTCATTAAAATCTCCACAGTCACTCTTACCAAGATCATCGACATTTGTTCTTATCAAGAAAGAGACCAGTTTATATACTAAAAATCATTCATATATCAAGGTTTCTATTTTACATTTCATTATAAAATGTTGTCATGAAAAAATTGTTTTGATATACTAGCCAATTCACGGTTTCATGATGGGACATTTAAGCTGTGATTATTGGATTTCTTATTAATAAATTAATATAATCTGGATAATATATTTATAAAATAATAGAGAAATTATAATTGTCCATGATCATACAAATTAATAATGTATATATTCATTTTATAATTATAATTTTATAATATATTATATATATTTTTATTAGTTAAAATATACTTTTAGTTCTCTAATTTTATATAAGATTTGAATTTAGTCTTTTAATTTTTGTAAAGCATATTTTTAGTTCTTTAACTTTAATATCATTAGTTTTAAATAATTATTTATTGTGTCAATTATTATTATTTTGAAATAATTAAAATTAATATCTCAATATTTGAAAATATTTGGTCAATATTTGAAAGTTTCATGTAAAAATTTGTTGGGATAAACTAAAAGTATATTTTATAAAAGAATACTTTGTAAAGTTAAGATATTAAAATGAAATATTATGTAAGGTTAAAGAATTAAATATATATTAACTTTTTTTTTGCGACTTTATCTATTATTGCTTATTTCCCTATGTTTATCAAGTATCAAAATGCATAAATTTTGTTTGAATTTTTTTAATAAAAAGTGCCTGTTTGATGTCATCAAAACCATGTCCACAAATTTGAAGCCTAAAGGCTAAAACTAGAGTTAAACCACATTAAGAGAGTATATTCTGTTATATATTAGCTTACTTTGACTCGTGATCAGCGCAGTACTGGTGGTGCTCCTGCAGTGCATATATAAACATATAGTGTAGATGATTTTCTTTTTTAATTGTAAGCATATGGAATGCTTACCAAAGAAAAACCATCTAATATTTGTATGGTAAGGTGTTGGCTTTGACTTTTCTAGTTATCATATTCTCGTGAATGCACATCCACGGCAAGGTGTTATAGCTCTCATTTCACCTGTATCAATTCTTACAGTGAGAGACGTTGTAAAAGGAGTTAATAGTTTACATTTATGGGGTTCATCTTAGTATTGTTGTGTGTCTCAAAAGTATATATATCAAAAGTCTCACATTTCCTAAATGAAGAACATTTATAGTATATAAATATTAAGGAATGAAATGAACTAGTAAAATGAGTTTGGAGGAGAAGTGGGTTCGCACGTACGAAGCAAGCCAACTCAAAGCAATCGCAATTTAAATTAATAGATTCGCCTCTCTATGCCCGAGTTTAAAAGGAATTGAGTTCTTTTTATTAGATTAATTTTACGAAAATAAACAATTTTTTACGTTCGTGTAACCTCCCAACGTTTCCAAACAGATACTTAAACATACTTTATGAGTGTGTAACCAAATGTTTGAGTTTAAGATTTGGCCTATATATAGGCATGCATTTGGATTGAACAACTCACTAGCCTCTTGAACTTTTAAAGCAATCTTTTCCTCCTCCCTTCGTTTGAGTTTATTTTTGTTAGTGGTGCTGTCCTGTACCCTTATATTGTGCAGGAAGTGCTTGTTTTTGCCCATACCACCAACAAGTATGCGGTGACGCCGTGACAATGCCCACTCATCAACACACAATTGACAAAACAAATTAAACCGTATGTGGTTCCTATGTTGCATATCAGACATGCGAGAGGGTAGAACTTTATCAAGCAACTGTTAATTATATACTTACATTTCAAATACATATTACGTGTTTCTACTTTCAATGACGTTGAATCCCTTACCAAAGAATTCAGAATATACACATCAAGTGATGTCATGATGAATTCCACGAACTTGTGTCTGCGCGTATCAACGGATGTATTTGAGTGTGCAAGGTTTCACCGTTTCAGAGAATGCGATTGATGTCTCATTCACAGGCATTCAAGAGAGCTTAGTCATACGGCTGTATATAACTAAACACACACACACACACAGCAAATCCTAGCTGCATATACTTGAGAGTTAGTATTCTGCAGAGTGTGTGTTCTACAATATGTACATTCAATGAGAATTGGCCATTTGGCAGCATGCCCTGACAGTAACAATAACTATACAATACAAAAGCTGAATCGAAAAAGCGGGATTGACCAGAGGCGTGGTAGTGAGCAGGCTATAATTGAACCATGGAGGAATTGAAGCTAGTGATATAGGCCGGGATGGAAAGTGGAAACTTTATCTCAGTGAAACCACGCCCAGTAGGTAGTATTAATTGATGAGAAACAGGGGGGCTATATATCTACAAGTAGCTCCCAAAGTTGGACTTTACAGTGCAAGTTGCAAGGAGCACTGTGAGATTGAATTAACAACTCCTGCATATCAATGTTTGTAACCGACAACACCAGAAAGGGACTTCACATAACGTTGTAACCCAACTCGTATGATATCCATACGTTAGTCGCTCGTCTCTGCACTTGGAAAACGATGCATGAGCTTTGTGGTCACTCTGCATCATGTCCTCCGCCACAAATTTATGCCCCATAACCTTAACAACACTACTTCACCCAATAAGTTATGCCAATACAATCAACGTACCAACGAATGGCGCAATACCAATTACATGTAACTGCAACAGCAAATGACAATAGTAATGTGGAATATCTACTCTCAAATTGTAATCCTGTATTTATTTATTTATTTATTTTATCAATACGATCCTCTATCTTTGTAAGTGCAAATTAATAAAATATGAATCAATATCACGTCCGATTATTTTTTATATTACCTTTTCCATGCATGAAGAATATACAGGTGCTCATAATATGATACTTTGGAGGTGCAAAAGATTTCGACATTCAGTTTAAAAATAAAAAAGATGTTTTCTTTTCTTCTTTTGTGAAAAAAATGATTATTTAAAATTTTATTTTAAAAGCATATAAGTTAACTGGGGTCGAGTCGTAACGAGAGCCCTCGCCAGCGGTGCTGCAATATGAATCTGGTACCTAGTCAGAATAAAATTCTACTTAACTCAGTCCGTAGACAAACTTTGTCCAAAAATTCCGTAGACAAACCTGAGAAAAATTCGGGCCCAGAAAAGCAAAACTGAGAAAAATAATGTGATTTGGGCTGTTGGCCCAGTCCGTTAAAACCCAATTCCTTCTTCTAATGAGTAAAAGGAATGAAATAAAAAAAGATAATTTTGTAAATGTAAAATGCCCTCAAATAATAAAAAGTAACAAGAATAAATAAGTTGTGGTGAGTGATAATAACCATATAAAATAGATATAGTATGTCTCAATTTGTGGACTCTGGAAAAAAGGATTTATTTTATATTTTTATATCAATTCTATAAACTGGGTGTTAGTTTTTTTCGTTCCTACTAATCATAAATTAGATATGGATCGCTACGATGAGTATGACATGTATATGTATATTATATAAAAATAATAAAAATATGCCAAAAAATTGATTATTTGCCGTTTTTTTTTTTGGTAATTTTGATTTTCATGCGGTAAAGCGTCTGTTACCAATTTTTGTTTGCCGGTGATCCGCACCGACCCCAAGTAACTACAGTACCCGCCAACTGCTTTTCCGAAATCAGTCGACGCTTTTTGAAGGACAGTGTGTATCACGCTCCCAGTGATGATGAGAACGTCATTAATTACAACCTAGTGTTCCCGAAAGACAAATGGCATGCGCGTGGGATTCAGAATCGCCTTTGCATGGTCCCAATTTTGGATTGGTTAAGCGGCATGCTTCATCAGATACTCTGCTTCGTCTCAATTTACTATTTTCTCCAGATCCACTGGCATGTTAAGCCCTTGCTTTCTTCTTAGTTTCAAATTCTCTCTTTTCTTCAAGTCCTTTTGCAACATTCAGTGATCTTTTGGGTTTTCTGCTACGGCCTTTAGGTGATTTTACTTCATCACTCCCTTCTCTAAGCTTTTTTATCGAGTCCTGTGTAGATTTCAAATCAATTTTCTATTTGTCCTGTCGATTGAATATGAGTTCGCCGTCCTTGAAATTAAAACCCAGTATCTAGAACTGTTTTTCTTGTTTGTTTCTATGAAGTCGGCGCGAGCTTCTCTCCTCTAAAACAGTTGTTACCTTAACTGTTAAATTCAATCTTCCTATTCTTATCAATTTCTTTCCTGATGAAAAATATACTTTTTTTTTTTTTGAAGCATTGGATGGGTACCAAAGAAGAATAAACAAATACTTGTAATCTGGCACGAAATGTCCAGTGTGTCAATTTTGACATGTATTGAATGTTTTGCAATGAATTCGTTATGGGCAAAGGAAGTAAGCATACTCCAAATTCATAGATAAATGGTACCTTGAACGGCGTGGTTATTATCTTCTTTGTTTGTCCTAATTATACATGGCCTTATGAATGGAGGAATGAAAGGAAAAGGGATGGTTTAGCTATGCCTTCTGCTTAGCGATATCTGGAGTGATTGCAATATTTCCTACAGGGTCATCTTCCTTTGTTCGGTGGAATTTGATTTCTGTTTCTTTTCATAGGCTTATTCATTCCAAATTTTCCAGTTGAGGCTTCAGTCACTGGACAATAATGAACTGCTGTGGTTACACTGCTGAAGTCACCAAACTATCCCCTAGAGCAACAGAGAAGGATGTGCACAATTTTTTCACATACTCTGGTGTAATTGAGCATATTGAAGTCTTCAGGTAATGTTGTTCAATCTTATTTACGGAATGCAATTTGTAATCATGTAGTTAGATTGAACTAAGTATATGTTCAACATATGATGTTACTTTATGGTGGCATTTTGATGCAATGCTTACTTGGTCTTTACGTCTTGTTGCAAATTTGGGAGATTTTTAATGGGTTAAGGTGCATTTTTGTCTTTAAAGTATTTTTCGAGAAACACCTAGCACCCTAAAGTTTTTGTTAGAATAATTTTGCCTTTAAAATTATTAAAACGAAGCATTTTTGCCCTTTCCATCAAAATTCCAACATTGACCTCAAACATTGATTGCTAGAAAATTTGATAGAAAGGATAAAAATGCTCTGTTTTAATAACTTTAAGGGCAAAATTTCTTCAACAAAAATGTTAGGGTGCTAGGTGCTCTTCGGGAAATATTTTAGAGGCAAAAATGCACCTTCACCCATTTTTAATAGCCAACCTTGTATTGCAAACTGCATCTCAATTTTTTTTTTTTAAATGGATATCCGTCTGACTTTAATAATAATGACATGCAGATAGGGAATATAATGATCATTTCCCTTTAGATAATTTTGCCTGAACAAAGCCAAATTCAAAATTTCCGAGCTATAAGATGGCAAAGATAAGGAATTGGGAATCCTATGGATATTCTTGCACAGAGTGCCCACTACTTTGTCACCTCTAGATTTCAGTTGACCCCTCTCTCTCATGATTGCAAGTCAACAATTCTTCTGTGATCTTAGAATAAATAATTTATTCCTTCCATAATATACTTTCATGTTTTTTGTTTGGTTGTTCAGAAGGAGTTTTTTCTTTTCTGTTATTGCTCCAAGTCTGAAGTAGGTAGCTTACAATTTATTTGTTTATTATTAGTATCATATTCATATGTTCTTCCGTCTTCACACAAATATTAACAACATTGCCAATTAACGAAGTTATGGTGTTCTCTTCTTAAAATGCAGATATTGATTAAAATGCTGATACATTAGTGCCCTTTAATGCAACCAAGTATCAGTACTTTCATTTAATTCGTTTATTTCCTGTCACTGTTGTATAGAAATTTCATATGCTTGCAAGGCTTGGGGTGACAGTCGCTTGTTTATATAATGGCTCTTTTGTCATGATACAGATCTGATGAAGATGTAAATACCGCATATGTGACTTTTAGGGATGCTTATGCTCTGGAAACTGCCTTGTTGCTGAATGTATGTTGATGCTCATCCACCTTGCCTCCTAGCTTTTAAAATGTTGGATATCATAGATTGATGTCATCTACATCAGGTCTTCTAAAGAAGTTTATCTTTCTTCGCTTAATTGCATGCTAGATAAATATCATTATATCAACAATGCCTGTCAGTAGTCTCTTTACAGTTTTTAATATATGACGGATCTAGTCCAGAATAACATTATTTATGCCTAAAGATCCTACTAGAGTATAAGTCTCAAGGGTTAGCTAAAGAGATAGCAAAAGCAAGAAGAAAGCAACAACAAGAAAAAAAAAAAAAAACCCAGGTTCCTATGCATTTGAGAGGTATATGCTCTGCAACAAAATTATAATCACAATTCCTCCTTTACCCTGTGAAGACACACAGACCTTCTTACTTTTCCTATTATGCTATAAGTAAAAGAAAAAAGAAAAAAGGCTCCATCACTTACCCTCTGCCCTAGAATACGTCAACTGTTGAGGCCCAAGGGCCAGATTCATCACCATTGGCTTGCAAGAAACCTATGAAGTCCTTTTAAAATACAAGAAACTACAGCGGTTTCACCTGAACAGCTATACCAGTGAATGAATTCGCCCATGCGAAGGATAAATATTACATGAAGGGGATAAGGGCAAGGAATAATAAAGCAGGAAGGAAAAATATTATCTAGTAACACTGTACACTGGAGGGACATTTAGATCAGGACACGCCAGATCTTTCTTTTATAATATGCATATATGACAAGATACCTTGTATGATTTTGATTTTTGCTCCTTCATCAGCCTGTTTTTGGATAGCTATTGAACATTAGCTACTCAATGTTCTGGTATTGATCATTAATATATTTCTCAATCTTAATATTGTGTTTCAATCCAAACTATATCAGGGATCTGTGATTGTAGATCAACCCATTTGCATTTCTCGCTGGGAAGGTTCCTTAGATGACTGTGATAATTGGAGTGACCATGCGTCAAGGCCTGAAGATAGTATAAGTTTATCAGTATGCTTGAAACTCTACCTTAGAATGCTCATTTGCTTTAACGGAGCAAAGTAATATAATAGCAATTCGTAAACAATTGTTTCATGGTGTTTTAAAAGCAAGCATGTTTTTGTTTATGAAGAAATTAAAATCCTTTCAAATTTGATGAACATTCCCCCCCCCCTTTTTTTGTAATTTCATGGTTTACAAATTTAGAACGAGATGAATTACTGTTTTAGAAGGTTGGATACTTTGAATAAACTACCGCTATTTCTTGTCTGTTGGAGACCTGCTAACGAGCACAACTCTGTTCTGAGGAGGAAAATAGCTGAATGATATAAATGTAAATCAAAGCTGTGAGGGTCTGGTGGTTTGTCTTTCAAGTGAAGTAGAATAAGTTGTCCCTTTTCATAATCAGCTTGTACCTTTTTCTAAATTAAAAAGGAACGAATCATTGTTTTCGAGTCCCATAAACAAAACTCAGTTTAACATGACCTTATTCATTATTCTTCTGTTTAAAACTGTAATTAATACTGACTGTTCAAGTCTATTCCTTTCCATTATTGAACGAACGAACATCATTTTTTTGTACAGGATATTCATATGCAGAAATTTGCTTCTACCCCTGGGGAGGCAGTAACCTTGGCGCAGGAGGTAGTGAAAACAATGGTAGCCAAGGGATATGTGCTGGGAAAGGATGCATTGATCAAGGCAAAGGAATTTGATGAGTCTTACCGACTATCATCCAGAGCAGCAGCCAGAGTTGCAGAGCTCAGCAAAAAAATTGGGTTGACGGATACAATTAATTCCAGCATGGAAACTTTCAAATCTGTGGACGAGAAGTACCATGTCACCGATATCACCAAATCGGCTACAACATTTACAGGGACAGCAGCCATAGCCTTGGCTACAGTTACAGGGAGGGCAGCAGTGGCAGCTGGTAATGCCGTCGTCAACAGCAGTTACTTTGCAAAGGGAGCTCTCTGGGTTTCAGATATGTTGGATCATGCAGCCAAATCTGCCGCTGACTTGAGTCAGCGCAACAAATGAAACATCAAATCTGTTGTATTCCAAGGGCGGTGTTGGGATAAAAGTAAATGAATATCTCAGGAACTTTGTGCAGTTGTCAAGTGCGTTAGCGGATCTGTATAAGTAATTTAGTGCTGATACTGGGACAGTGATTGGGCCCCAAGCCATTGATCTGGTGTACATTTTAATGTATTAAAACATTGGAATACTTGCTGACTGGGAACAAAAGAGTTGGAGGACCTCCGGTCAGCAGCTAACTTGCAAGTACTCAAGCTTCCTGTTGCCAAATATGTTTATCCTCATATTTTCTGATGTGGTATCACATGCATGGTTCTGTATAATATTCAGATATAACACTCTGATGTCTAAACTTGAACCGATGTCTGACTTTTGAAACGCGTTTAAGCAAAATATGTAAGGTGACTCCTTTGACAAGACTCTCACGGAATTGAATTGTGAAGCAAGAAGGCAAACAAGATACTGACACAATAATAAACAAAGGCAATCTGGTTTTGTTGCTGTGCGTGGTACAAAATATTTCAGGTAGAGATGTAGCATCATGAAATATTATTTGAGGGCGCATATCGCACGGTTGTTGCCTTCAAATATAATAAAAAGTGAATTATTTTGTAGTAGTTTAATGAATCCGTTACCAGCAAAATATTCGAATCCAGCAAGATGTTGTTAGCACTTTAAAGGCATGGGATCCAACTAATCTGAGAGAAAACTATTCATTAGGATTATTAATATGTTTGAAAGGAGGGAGGGTGCGTTGCCGTTACCGGCCTAGTTTCATAGCATTATAAATAAATGATATTATGATTTGACTTGATTAATGGGAAGCACATACGGTTTGAATACTTTGCTTGGTGCACACGATCTCACACAGACATCCCCCCCGCTTGGTTTGCTGTATGGGTTCCTCTTTTTCTTTCTGAAATCACGTCTTTCTCTCCCTTTCATTTCTGATTAATCCACGCTGCTGCTGCTGCTGCTATTGTCGTGGTTGGTTTCTTTCTCACTCATTATTATGCGCATCACTTGTCAGAGAAATTAAAAAAAGAAAAAGAAAAAAAAAAAAGACTTCACTGCCGTGGCCAGGCCACCATGACTTTTTCTTTTCTTTCGGATGCTCACTGCCAGGAGGGCATAGCCACAAAAATCTGCGTTTATTCTTGGATAGGATGCCTTTTTCTTTTTTCTTTTAATAGAAACTTATTCATGCATTCGCAAAATAATTATATACTGTTTGTTTTTTCCTTTTTTATACATTCCTAGACTTATCATCAATCTCCACCTCCCCACAGGAAGGTGGGAGTTGATTAAGGTATCAAAAATAATGGTAACATTACTATGCGGTAATTTAAGATTAAAAGCATCAGTACATCTCATGTTTACTCCACATGCAAAATAAAATTAGCAATCCACTCTGTCGTCATCACCGTTCTTAACTCTTCAATGAAATATCTATAGGTGTCATTCTCTATAAAGTCCCTAGGAATGAGATTTGTAGCTTGCGCAAAGACAGTGATAACGTTGACATACTTACAACCTAAAATACCAACCAATCCCTAAGCCTTTGATGATGCCTCTGATTTCATCACCTTTTGACAGAAGCCAGTGATCCATTCCCCTTTCCCCTGTTTTGTTCTTCAAGAACAAAACACACACGAGCTTTCACCTTCATTACTCACAGAACTTAACAGTACCAACAAACATAAGGGTGATTGATAGAAAGTATTTTGGTGAAAATATAACAACTAGAAGTGTAGAAGAGAAGGTGCGTGTTTTAGGGGAACCGACGTTGGGGGGAAACATAAACGGGTGAATTGGCAGTGCAATTATCAGCCAACTGTGGGCAGCGATTGGCATCTACCACTCACAACTTCCACCCATAAGCTTTTGATTGGATGACATAAATACATATGATAGCTTCTGTTCTTTGGTTACATCCACATCATTTGTATCATTTATAGGTCTTCAATCTTTCTTAGTTGTTGGTGAGATTGAGGGACAAAGGAATTCTCAATCATTTTGCTCCGACCCAATTAGGTGGCTCTGCCTCCAACAAAAATAACGCACTTCCCTTCCCCATCATCACAAATCAAATTACCCTAAAAGAACCTTCCTCGTTATTTTAAACTTCAAACTTTCCCTTTGACTATTCATATTCATGCTGTTTGTTCTCAAAGTCAAGATTGGTTGTTTTTCTTGTCCCTGCCAAGCATTAACGTCCCAAAATTCAAACTCACTGCCGCTGATTTCACACCTCCAATCATCAATGTCACGGAGAGAACCCCAGACGAACGCAAACAGACATAAAAGAAGCTGGAAATTTCAGTGCCCTCATAAATAATTGTGTTCCTTTTGCTTACCCAAAAAAAAAAATAAATAAATAAATTTGTATGTGCCTTTGGGAGTTTGGACTGTTCCTTAGGTTTCTTTAGCAAATAGTCTATTGAGTTGAAATATGATTTGACCAGGTCACTAGGCTTCTCAGCCTCGTTTACCCTATTTCATGTTTGAATTTAAATCTTCTCCGCTAATATTATAATGTCAGGGAGAAAGAAATGAACTCGTGAGGAAGTCTTTTATATCTGTCCCTATTTTTATTTTATATGTATAGCATATGTGTATATGACGCAGTCATGTTAATTTCTAGCTACTAATGCGTTTTAACTTTTAAGTAGGGGTCTTGCATTGCTTAATCTATTCACAACGCGTTAATTGAAAGTCCTGAAATCATTCCTCAATTCAACACGTGGATGCGGATTTTCTGCAGTTTGTTTTCCTTTAAAAAAAAAAATTCTATGATTCATTCTTCAGTAGCCAATTAAATACCTCTAAATAATTCACCCCATAATCCGGGGCTGGGAAAATAAACATGCTAATCCTAGTTATCATGGCAGGGATGACATGATGCCTTATACATTGAGTTCATAAACTCCACGATCTTAAAATAATATTTTTCTAATTATCACAGGAGTAGGTCCGCAGCATTAATTAATTATGTGACTCTAATTTCTCTTCTTTTGTGGTGAAAAATTATTGTTATCTTGAACGAAAAGAAATGGGAAAATATAAATTGAGGATCACTGGAGGTATTTTATATCAAAAAAGAATTTTAAGATATCAATTATTCACTACACCTCCCTGTCCTTGACTAAAAATAAATTTTTATGAATAACTTAATTGTTCTTAATAAAAGAGAAATAACTAAATAGAAATTAGTTGTTAACGTCTGAATGTATTATTGTCAATAACAAATTGATTGTTGTCATGACTCAAATGATTTATTGTTTATATATGGTAAATATTTATTTCATTAAATTTGTGCTGTCAGTTTTTTAATCTTGTTAAATTTTAAATGTATCGTTAGTAATCACAAATTAATTATTGTCAAAACTTAAATAATTTCTTATTCACATAAGGTGAACACTTGTTTCATTACATTTGTATTTTCAATTTTTTAATTTTGTTAAATTTTAAATGTGTTGTCATCAATTACGAATATTTTGATGTGAAAACCTAAATGATTTATTATTTATACATAATAAACATTTATTTTATTAAACTTATTTTATTAGTTTCTTAATCTTATTAAGTTCTGTGTGTGTCATTATTGATCATGAATTGATTATTATTAAATTTGAATGACTTATTATTTTTGTTTGGTAAACATTATTATTTTAAATTTTAGAGATAATTCATTCATTTCTTATAAAAATTATTTTTAGCTAAGGAGTAAGGAGGTGAAGAAAAAAAAATCAGAATGTTAAAATCTTTCTTTCATATAAAATACCCCCAGTAAACTTTTGGTGATATTTTTCCAAAAAAAAAATTTGCCCAATTTATTTAGATGATCCATATCTATGTTTATGATAATTATGTCCCTATAAATATCCTCTTTCTCTTTAAATTTTTTTAAACCCATGAGAGAATTCAAATCAATCATCAATTAGCATTACAACTGTAATAATACAATCAATCATAAATTACATCTTTTAAATTGGAAAGTAAAGGAAGTAAAACCAATTATAAATCACACGATGAAATGCTACCGTCATCCTCATATATATATATATATATATATAATTTTCACCAAAGAAGATAGTGGTAAATTTTATTTCCTTTCTAAAAATAAGGAAAAAGAAAGAAAGAAAAACCAAAAAGTATACATTTTAAACTGTATTTGTTTGTTGTACAAAAAGAGTGAAAGACTATTGTTCACTCATAATGCCACTTTCTCATTATCTATACGGCACCAAAACTTCATAAGAACACACAAGACAGACACCCAGCAGACTGAAAAATTACCTCTGTTAAAATGTGATTGGAAGGTGAAATCTACGAGCAACACAACGGGCAGCGGATTAACCCGTTTTCATTGCAATCGGGGCACCGCTGGAACCCATAGTCACCTACTTCACCATCTTCATCTTCTTCTTCGGCTTCCAAATAAATTTTACAGCTTCCAGAACATGTTTCACAGGGCACAAATCGAATATCCCCACAAGCTTCACATATATCGCTGTTACCTCCACGCTCATCACCGACTCTTTCGCAGCAGTTGAGTAATTTTTCAAGCTTCCCATCTTCATGCAGTTTTTGAATTTCCTCAGCTCCACCAATGGGCTTAGTTCCAATGAACACTACAGGCAATCCAATCCCAGTAAGCTTATCACCCAGAAGCTCTTTGAGCTCATCCTTGAATCCCGAATGCATCGACACGTCTCGTTCGTCGACACGGACTCCTAATCCTTTCAATATGAGCCTCACATGGCAACAATCCTCGAAAGTCTTCCGCACTCCGCGTAAGGTCGTAAAGTACAAAACCACCTTGTCTTTATTGAATGGAAGAGTCTTCAAATCCATATCATTACCTTCAATTGTATTCTCTTCGGTGACATCAAAAGACAAGTTATTAGCAGTTATGCTATGGTTTTTCTCATCATCGATTAGCCGTAGTTGAAAAGGGATTTCTGGGGAGAGCTCTTGTAACGACTCTCTGAATGAGGAAATGACTTCAGGATCAAAATCGGTAATTGCAGGGGGAATCCTGGGACTTAATTCGTCTTCGCTCATTTGAAGCCACAAAGGTTTGGAGGACCGAGTGCCATCCTGTACCAGGCCTGACCTTGGTGGATCAGTCGGAGCAGAAACAGATTGATCGAAAGAGAAGCTCCGGAAGTGATTGGGTGATCGGAAGGGACTGATGTCTTCGAGACCTTCCATCAATTCCCACGCGTTGATTGTCTCCGGTTCACCTGGAGGAGTTCTGATCGGAGTCCTGGGCATATATTTCGGTAGCTTCTCGTCGATCATATTGGACCATGTTTTGGCCTCGATCAGCCCCATCGAGAATTCCTTAATCTTTCTCTGACTTGCGGATAAGTCCTCATTCTTCTTCTTCTTATCATCGTCAATTGAATCGCGGTTGTCAAAGCTGAAACCGTCACTATCACTGACTTTGCTGTGGGAAAACTTGAAACCATTCTGGCCTCCGATTTCAGGAAGCCTGTGAGTTTTCTGATAACTTGAAAGAGGAGAATCAAGCTTGAGAGAACCCAATGTGGTGGAGGTGAGAGCCACGACATGGTTGCTATCGCCTTCTTTCTGAGGCGGGTGGTGGACGTGCATTGAGTAGCTTCTGGGCACAGGGGAATACGGAGCGTTGCAATGCCGACATCGCTTTTGCTTGGAACTAGCACAGCCCATGATTACAAAATTCCAAATATAAAAGTACAATCAGAAGAGAAATCAACTAAAGAAGAAACCCACCAAGAGTTAGCACCTGTTTGCTGCCAGGAAGGAAGTTCTGTCGCTGTGGAAAATCCACCGCCGAATCTGATGACAGAGCTCATTCATCATTGGACGCAGAAGGCTCTCTCTCCTTTTGTTCTGGGATTTTGGTGTCAAGAAGGAGGTTGAGAGAGAAAAGGACAAAAGAAGCAGGAGGGGAAGATAATATTGAATGGGTCTTGTTGAATTGGCGAGGAAATGATAAAACAGAGGAGGAACCAACGGGGAAGAGAAGAGGTCTCTAATAGAAAAGGCATAAAGGTAAAGTCAAAGAACGAGGGCGGGAGAAGAATCGGGTAGCATATTGGTATAGCACTCTGAACCCTGATCTCGCACGGTTGGCCTATTCTCTCTCTCTGTATATCAAAACAAAACAAAACAAAAAAACCCAGAATAATTTAGTTAATTAAGGAGCAACATCTGTCTACAAAGTTTCGTACGAAGAATTTGACATGACTGGGGTTTAATAAAACAAGATATGGGTTCAGACGAGAAAATCAGCAAGGCAAGATTGCGAAAATCATTGCTTGAATGACTCTCCCCAAAAACAAGTCGGGTTCCTCTGCTTCTTCCCTCACGCCTTATGCGAGAACTCTGTTTTTGTTCTCTTCTATTATTACTGTGCGGCTGAGGCGACGGTGAGCGATGTCACCACCACTCGCAGTTTTTGGCGCGTAGCGTGCCTTCCACATCATTCGAGAGCGAAAAGCCCTCTCCATAAGTGTTGAGCCCTGAGGTACGGCGCTCCAGTGGACCCCGCTTGCTGTCATCATCCCTTTTCACAAGCGCGTCCAACAACTACTGCTTCAAATTTACCGTTATAACCTTCCTCTTAATTGGGATTGATATACAAAACCATTGGCCGCTTGTTTTTGTTGGTTTTTTTTTTGGGTAAAAACTTATTTTTGTTTTGTTTGTTCTTTAAGGATTAATGTTAGTTGTTACTTGTTACATCAGCTACGTAAAATGCTACCATTCTTCTAACTGCTCCTTGTCACATAATTATTACGCTTACTTACAGTCATTATCGTAAGGTAGAAAAATAGTCATTCGATACTTATTTTTGCTATTTTAATTAATTAATTTTCACGATATTATAGAAAAATTAACTTTTTTGTTTCGTTTGTCATTGATGTGATGATGATAACTATCTAAAGAAAATATTCGCAACTTCGAAATGCAATGAATCAGCCGTGCAGATACAAGTTAATAAGTTATTAAATGTATTTGTATTTTATATTCAATAATCAATAGACATCGAGTATAAGATATGCAGATTCTCTTAATTTTGTTATGAAAAATGAATTCTTTGGATGAATTAGTGTAGGCAATTAAATAGATGTTTTGATTTCTTTTGGTAAACATGAAATTTAAATAACATATTTATTTGAATTGTCTAAACATGAATTCAGCCCATATCCAAATTAGCAGGATATGGTATCATGCATTAGTCAGTTTGCAATAAAAAATGTATTATTTGATCTTCCATACAAAAATAATGGAAAAATTGCGTATAGGCTCGTAAAACAGACTTATTATAAATAAATTTTATAAAATTTAAAAATTATAGTCAAATTTTTTGAGACTTGAGTTTGACTGTAATTTAAAATTGGTGTGTAAAGATAATAATGCTCTCACTAAAAATACATTTTATTAATCAAATAATCTATAATTATTTTATCAGTAATTTACAACTATCATTTTAACTTTTTATAATTGTAATTTTACATATTCAATTGTTAAATTGATCATACACTACAAGTTTGATATTAATAATATACAACTACCTCATCATTAATTTACAATTATCATTTTAACATTTTACAACAGTAACTTTATATATATAATAGTTAAATTGATCATACCTATTGTCAATAAAGCTTAACATTAATTATTTACAATTACTATATCAATAATTTATAATTCATATTTCAATATTTTACAACAATAATTTCAGATGTTTAATAAGGATAATGCTATCTTTATACCCCAAATTTAAATTATACTTGAGTTTTAAAAGACTTGGCTGTGGTTTTTAAATAAGTTAATTTCCTTGGACCTATACATAATTTTTCCAACAATAATTGACTTAGTAGTTTGGATTCTATATATAAATTTTATAGTTACATATATTAGTATATTGATTGTATTTATACGTGCCCTTGGTCGTACATAACTTATGGAACATAAGTAGCTTTTGTGCATAAAATACGGTTGAGATCATTGAACAGCATCTACTAACTAACTTTTGATAAATATGGTAGTTGTTAGAGATATACACATGAAAACCGGCTTGTATATATCTACACGTGCTCAGACTTTAATTTACAACGAATGTCTATCGTGTTAAATAAAAAATCAGGAGACAGAATACATATATAATTATATATTATTTGTATGAAATAATTAATAGACCCTTTTAATTATAGATATCATCTTAAGAAGAGCAAAAGCATTGATCGAGACATGGAGTATATGCGCAGACATAGAACATAACAACTTTTAATTAGCAAAACCTTTGAAAACAGAAGAGAGATTCGATCAATTATAATAAGACAAGGAAGGACAATACAATACTACCAGAGAAAGACATATTTCTGGTGGGTTAAATGATAGTATACCTAATTTTGGGTTGGCGAATGTATTAACTGTTAAGTAATTGAAATAATAACTAGAGTGGATAATGAAGCAGCGAAGTATATTAATGGTATTGTACGGTGATGGTGGGTTCAAGCAATTGAAAGACATGCTCACACCAAATTGAACCATGTAGCTTCTTTAGATACAGACTTGTAGTTTCAATGTCTTCCAAGATGAACGGATCGAGAGAGATTCTCAAGATTTTTTAATATTTTTTTATTAGGTTAATAATAACTGCTAACACGTAAAAATATATAACTTTGATGCTGGGAACAACAAAAGGATTGGGCGGTTGGAGGTTGGAAAAATAGGCGTTATATCATAGAAATAAGCCATTGCTTGTGCAGTTGTACGCATTTAATTAGTTGGGAGTTGGGGCATGTTGTACATGCACAACTTGTGATGAATCTTTTATAGTTGAAAAGGGGTAAATTTCTTTCTTAACTTGAGACACCTGGCCCTATTTTAAATTAATATGTATACAGTAATATATATATATATATATATATAACTATAAAAAATTGTATTATTTACTGCTTGTTTGATTTGCCCAACTAATTGATCATTTGGGAGCAACCCATGGTTTGAAAAAAAAAATTACCCAAACAGCATAATTAATCACATAATTGATTATATATGCAAAATAATGTCTTGTAATGAGCTATATGGTAGATCTTCTTGAACCAAATAATAGATTATGACTCTTTTTGTTTTCGGATGATTGGATAAGAAATCATTTCAAACCAATAAAAGGATGAAGGAAAGTTGTGAAGCTCCCTCGTAGAAATTGTAACCTGTCACTGTCCACTCCACATTTTTCAACTTTGTCATTGCATCCTATCATGATATATAGGTGAAATGTTAATATTAATCTGATTTAAATAATTATAATTAATTAGACATATAAGTTGAATAATATATTTTACTTCTTAAATAAAGTTTAACAAATTTAATAATATTAGATACAATTTTATCAATAATTTAATTTTAAAAAGTAATATCTTTTATGATAAGTTGCACAACTAAAATTAATTCTGACTAAGTTATTCAAACATCTTTAATTTTGTTAAAATCAATTTTAGAAATACAATATTTAAATAGATTACGTTATAACATAATTAATTATTTTTATAATTAATTATACTCAATTGAAATTCAAATGGGCTATTAGAATGTCTCTCTTTGTTTTGTTTATAAAAAATATATAATTTAAGAAGTATTTATTATATTTCACCTAAATTGTTCATATAAATTTGTTTTATTAGTTATTATAAGGATAATTTAGTTTAAATTTTTTAATTTCAAACATAATAATTATACCCAACCAATTTTCTTAAATTGTAAACATTGTTTATTTTTTTCTTATATTTAAAAGCGATTGGAGTACAATTTTTAATTCAAGATTCAATGCACGGGACTTGTGAGTTGCGGGGATGGATAAAAAGTAAGAAGATCAAAACTCAAATGTTATGTTTTTGTTAAATAAGAAAACAATCGTTTTGGCCATTTTTTTTTTCATAAAGAAAAGCATTGTACATATGAAATGACTTGCGTATAGGTTTGGCTAAAGAAAACCGACTCATTCAATAAAGGCCCTTTAATTTCCTGAGGGGGGAAAATGATGAAGGTTTGGTTAGAAATGCTGGATTATATTGTTTAATTATTATGACTGTAAATATGAGTAAGAGGAGTGTGGGAAATCCAAATCCGTGACCCGAATATGTGATGAGTGGAAATAAAGGCAACAAAGGCATGGACAAAATCAAGGAGAGGGAGCTGGAAAGCAGGATGTGATGCACGTTCCGATGTGGCCACCACAATTATCCACGTTCAATTCCCTTATCCAGATGAGTTCACACGTGGAACAGGGAATGCATGGGGATTGGTCCACCTCATTATTACTCTGCCACGTGATCCCGCGTGCTCCTTTTGCTTCTTTCCACGCACCCTTCTCACTCCACTTCATCACCTCCATTCTTGATTTGTTTTCAGCCGCAAGATAGGTTTTCGGCCGTGTTATTTATGCTTAAGTTGTGCCATTTGGCTAACTTGCACGAAAATGTTGTTCATAATTGTCAGTATAGCTGGCTTTTATTTTTACCCTTTTATTTTGGATACATATGAAGAAGCTAAAAGCAAAGCGATGTGGGAACTTGGAGGGCGGATACGGTGGGGATCCATTCCAAAACCCTGAAATTGCGGTCTCCTAGTCTCTCTATTGACCACTTTCTGCCTTCTTTTCCATGAATTTTAGTTACATTGGGGCACACTGCATTTTCAGTCATGATCTCATAAACTCGTCATCACAGTCTGCATATAACTGATTATGAGATAATCAACATTGAAGCACGTGCTTGTAACCACTTTTGAGCTGCCAAAATATGATTATAACAAATTAAGCCCCAATGTGGTTCCTTACTCATTGAATTAATTAATTAATAAGATCAATTCCTTACCCATTAATTTCTCTCAAAAAGAGTAATAAATAAAATGGGCGCATAGTTTGAAAAAATAAATATAAAACTTATTCAATATTTTATATTTTAGATTAGGTAAAATTTTTAGAAGATATTTTTGTTATATTTTGAAGGGAGTACTTCCTAAATTTTCACTCACTTCTCGCTTCAATCTAACCAATTTCACTTCCTAATTAATTGATGGAACAGTAATCTGCAAGAGTTTATTGTTCTCTTCTACAATTAATGCATGTAATTGAAGTAAGAATTTTTTAAGGGATCGCCTGGTTCTTCCCGGTAAGGAAATTAAATCAATTGTTGTTTATGGAATTTAGAAGCTCGGCTTATGATATTTTTTTAAATATCATTGACTCCTTGTTTTTTCTTAACACGAAGAAATAAAAAGACTGTTTATGAATTTAAAATTAAAAGAATTATTTTTAAAATAATCCCAAATCTTCAACAAATGAA